TTTTTTTTTTTTTTTTTTTTAATTAAAAAGAAATGATCTTGGACTGAAATGTGTATTTTATACATTTTTGTGTATTTTATACATATTGAAATGTGTATTTTATACAGGCGATATGAATATAAACAAAAGTAAATAAAATACAGAAGATGGAACTACATTTATTTACATTGAATTTGAATTTGAATTATGTTAATATTTGCTTGTCTCTCGGCTACATAAATGAATGTCTACTGTAAATGAATTTTTTTAACATGTCTTGTAATGTGTTTGCAGATATTACTTGTACCTGATGCCACTCTTGTGTTTCATTTTACCGACTGTCATTCCTGTCTACTGTTGGAACGAGACTTGGTCTAACGCCTACTTCGTTCCCGCTGTTTTGCGTTACGTCTTTACACTGAATATGACTTGGTTGGTCAACTCTGCGGCTCACATGTTTGGAAACAAACCATACGATAGGTTAGTATTGTTGCCCATGGTTTTGGCTCAATTTACATAATAGGCTTACATAAAAAATACCTGCAAAAGAAACAGAAGAAAAAGGAACAATTGGTAAATAGTTGATGGAAACAATTAATTGATTTCTTCAGATATATCAATCCTGCGGAAAATAAAATGGTGGCTCTCACGGCGTTCGGTGAAGGTTGGCACAACTATCATCACGTGTTCCCATGGGACTATAAAACGGCAGAGTTGGGCAACTACAGATTCAATCTTACAACGGCTTTCATTGATTTCTTTGCAAAACTCGGTCTCGCGTACGATTTGAAGATAGTACCCAAGGATGTAGTATACAAACGAGTGCAGAGAACTGGTGACGGAAACCATAACACCGCAAATCTGTGGGGTTGGGGTGACAAAGACCAGACGAAGCAAGATATAGATGTAACAATGGTGTTGAAGAAAGAATATTAAAAGGCACAATTATTGTGTGAGACTGATCGTTCCCTTTCTCTAAGAGAAGAGAAGATGATGAACGAGAAGTTTAATTTAATTTACAGTTCGTTATAAAAGGGGTAGTACATAAGCTGTCCGAATTAATTGAAACATTTTGGGATATTTTTCATACTTTTGTTATTCGATTGTATCCAACTTTTATCGAAGTCAATTCACAATGAAGGAACAGTTTTTTTTTTTTGCAAAGTTTCCCGCAAAAAGATTGGTTCTCGCAGAATGAAAAATTCACGTTGACATGCAATGGATATCTTTGTTCTTATTTTAGTCTTATATTATTCTGAAGCTTAGCTTAGAATAGTAATTAACATACTTTGAATTTTGATTTCTACAAAATAATTGACGCTGGTGTAGACTGTCGTGCGGATTATTGAATAAGACCGATATTATGCACAACAGATTATGGGTTCTATGGCATCTTCAGTGGTCTTGGGTAAAAAGCGTTATTTCAGTTAAACACTTTTAACAACGTCCTAGATCCGAACTAATAGAAAATTCACGTGCTATCTTCGGGAATTGCAAGCTCTAAAGAATATCAATACGTAATAACGAAGCAAACTATTCGATAGAATCTATGGATTTTCAATCAATTTCTTAATTTCCAATTGTTTCTATTACTCTTTCTATGAATCAGTGAGAGTTAATTCTATTTTTGAAAGAATTCTTTTTTTTTTTCCTTTATCTTTTATTTTTACTTTCAACGAGTTATCAACATATCGATACCTCGAAGCATGAAAAAGATCCGATTAAGAATCTAACGTAGTTACATGCTTATTGTGTAGTGATCATGCAATTATATAAAACCATCGTAAACTCGTTGAGGACTTTACGAGGTAAATTTTTTGGTTACATTTGTTG